ATCGTTTCATATATACTTCACACTCTTACTTTTTACCCCAGCCAACAAGAAGTCGGCTATTGAGGGTTGTTTGTTAAACGCATGCAATGGAATTTGAAATACTCCTCCTAGAGCTCTGATCCAAATTCGATTAAACTCGGTCAGCATGAAGTCAAGACATTGAGGATGAAAGTTTGCGAGGGGATTTTTGATATCTCGAACAGTTTGGCCGTGGCGAGGAAACGAAATTATGGGGAGAAACGTGAAACAGGAAGTGTGTTATAACTTCAGCATACATTAACTGATCTTGATGAAACTTCATCAATGTGTTCGCTGTAAGAGGACGATCACATGGATGTGACTATTGTGAGTCAAAGTTATAGCGCCACCAACTGGCAGCAGGAAGTGTGTCACTTTCAAAATGCTTTGAAATCACCCTCTTATTTTTACTTGATTTGCTTCAAACTTCATCTTTATAATGTAAATACACGGAAGATGAAGACCTGTGAATGGATTCTTGATATCTTTGCTACTGTTGCCGTGGCAACGTATCAAACTTTAAAATTCTTTTTTTTTGATGATTTTGAGACTCTTAGCGGTTTTTGGGGCCCTTAACGGGTTTGAAAACTCTTGAAACTTTGCACACAGGTCAGATCCCACAGCCATCAGGCCCGGGCTGAGGATGGTACCTGGGCGTGGCAGGGGGGCTAGACAGCGCCCCCTGGAACGGGGTCCGAAAACTTGGTCCATAAATCAAACACGCCTGCATGTAATAATATGAAACTTGGTACACATGTTGATCTCAAAGTTTCATATATACTTCACACTCTTACTTTTTACCCCAGCCAACAAGAAGTCGGCTATTGAGGGTTGTTTGTAAAACGCATGCAATGGAATTTGAAATACTCCTCCTACAGCTCTGATCTAAATTCGAAGTTTGCCTATCCGGAATTAACATTGTAGATATCAACAACGTCTTTCTGTCTACATTTTGTCTACATTTTGTCTGTCTACATTACATTTTGGATAGTTTGTATTATCATTTAAGATATATGTAACATAATTGTGACTAGTCGAAATGACAGAGTATGGCAAGCCGTTTTAACATTTAATCATGAAAGGGCCAAAGCCTTCGGCACCGCCACCCCGGTGCCTTCAGGTAACTAAAGAAACCGGGGTTGCAGTGCCACCCGCTTGGGCCCGCCATCGCTGCTCGCAGCTATATTTTCCATTATGGTTGTAAAGCTGCTTTGAAACAATCCATACTGTTAAAAGCGCTTTATAAATGAAGGTGACTTGACGACTTATTACAAAAAAAAAATTGCCCTAGTATTTCAACAAATTACAATAATGTATGTTATATACTGATCAAATCCTGATGGTGAAGAACTGGTCATGCTTTTTATTGAACATCCTGTTGCACTCTTTAAATTACCAGTATAAATGTAATGGACTAGAAAGATATTGTACAGAATTTTACCACCTCCACCTTGTTTTGAGACAGAAAAAAACCTGATCATGGCTGAAGAAACTGATTTGTACAAGCACGTATTTTAGGTATTTTAATAATAAGATCATTGGATTTTTATTTTGAGAACTCTATCATATACAGTGTTTCCCAAAGGAAGTTGTAAGACTGGGGTGGGCATGACCTCGGTCCGACTAGAGGTGTCCGGAGGCATACAACCCCCTACATTTTTTTAATATATGTATATTTAAAAAAATAATTAATTAATCTGGTGCGTTTTGAGAGTTTAAAGTTAAGAGCTCCAACTCATGTTCAGTGTGCAAATTGAACAAAGAAAAAGTCTGTGCATTGACTTGTTCCTGAACTTTAAAGGGGGCTCTTGGGCTCTTGCACTAGAGATGTGCAGATCAGCTCTAATGTCACCTGTTAAAAATAAATAATTCAACCGCCTGAACCTATGATATTATCTGATTTGAATATCTGCACCTGATCATCACATTACAATTAATTAAATTCTAAGGGTTAAGCATTATGATTATTATAAGCATTATGGTGGTTACACTTAAGTAGGCTGCTTTTAAATGAACATTTATTTAAAATAAAATTTCCTTAAAGGGTAACTAAACCATAAAACAACTTTTTTTTAGTTCATGATCTGTATTACTGGGGCTATATTAATTCATTGATTCAAGTCATTTTTTTGACATTTGGGTTTAAAGGGTAACTAAACCCTAAACCAACTTTTATTAGTTAATGATCTGTAAGAATTAGGCTTAAGTGCCGATCATTGATTCGAGTAACTTTTTTGACATTTGGGTATAAAGTATTTTAATTCTACAATATATGGTGTAAAAACTTCTTAGTGTTGCCCTCTTCAGTTTGAATGGTGGCTACTGCAGTTGAAATTTCCTATTGGATGTTTGCGGTTCTTTGTGACGTAAGCGGGGAGAGCTGACATAAGCAGATTCCAGCTCACCACGCCCTCTGCAGTTTAAAAAACATTGTTTCATCAAAACCACTGCGAGTCAACAGTTGGAATTATGAATATTGAAAACGATCAGGATAGAGTATTGTAGCATCTATTTAGCATAACATTTAGATGATTACCACCGCAGCAGCGTCTTGATGTGAGTGATCATGTATATTTTAATCACAATTTATGGTTAGGCTAAGGTTAATCCTCTGGGGTCGACAAAATCGCCGGCGCGTTTTGTTGGATTTTTTTCACATATGGGCAAAATATCATTATGAATATATGCCTACAGAGAGCGCGCGCTATTGACATCAACTTGACAAAACTCATCAGATGCCGATCGCAATGCGGGAGTTAAGACCGCAGTTTGAGCCAGCGGTTCGAATTGATATGGCCTTGTGTCCACAGACAATTCACCCTCCTCCACTTCAGGTGAAGGTGGGGGAGAAAAGTCCTCGACTTCAAATGACCGCTCCCCTGAAAGCTACTTGCGTCACTCTAGTCACTCTCCATTTTATCCAGGTCTCATGCAGTGAGGTGCGGTCTAGGTAGGCAAACTAGGCACTGCCTACCCTGCCAAAATAAAAAAAAAAATAAAAAAATGTTTGTTAAATAATAAACTTCTATTTGTATTTTTACTGTTTATTCTTTTGATTTATATATGCAATATGGGTGTTATTCCAATTGTTTAGACGTTACGATGACAAATATAGCAGTTACACATAATCAGATAAAAACAAATGGTAGAATAAACAGTGCTTTTACAGTCCATTCATTGCAGACGACAAGCGAAAAACTCATGTTGCGCATGCGCACTTTGATCCTGTATTCTTTAACATATACGGCAAAAAGCACAACTCTGCTGTGCCTTTGGGTGTAAATATGCTATGCCCGTAACCATCTACGTTACACATCAGACATGGACCAATTAAAATCCCGAGATGTTTGCGCAGCTAATGTCATTACATCATAGCAAGCCTACTTGCCTAATCCCCGCCAAATTCAAAGTCAAAATGACAGCACCGGCCGTGATCACAAAGTTAAGAAAATTTTCCAAGCTCGATTTTAATTCAAAATCTGACTTAATAGCAAGAGGGAGGTTTACGCCAGCCTTAGATGGACTAGTGCAGCAACTGAAGGACCGTAAAGACGAGTTTTACAAAGTTGTGATCGACTCTTTATAAGGAAAGAGCGGTGGATGAATTTTATGCACAAATAATCTACCAATTGGTGAGTCAAAAAGTATTTTGGGCTTAATATTGAATTGATCAATGTGGTTGAATAAATGCAAGCCATTTGCCTTCATATTCAATTGAGCGGTGTGTGATTTTACTTTTGCTGACAGACATAATTGGCCGCTGTGCAAAAATTAAGGATTAAGAATGGTTGTATTCTGATGCTGGAGTGGACATTAACTACCCGTGTGTGCCTGTGCCTCTCTTGTGTGTGTGCGTGCATGTATATGTGTGTGCGAGAGAGAGAGAGAGAGAGAGAGAGAGAGAGAGACTGTGAGAGTACACGTCACGATATACATCCTGATTTGTAGATTTCTTGTTATAATGCTACGCTTGTGCGTAACGTTTACTGTTATTATGTATTATTAGCCTAAACAATAAATCAGGTTATATGGCTTTCAGTGCCTAGCCTCTTTAAGACATCACCGCATGTCACTGGTCTCATGTGCACACCCCCACTCAGCCCCGCCCTTGATTCGTCCGATCTTTCTCCGCTGGGGTCTGCCCATTTTTTCAGTATTTTCAAATATTGCCAGTGAGTGGAGTCAGGCTCTGACCAGGGGTTTAGTTACCCTTTAAACTGTTTTAATTCTACAATATATGGTGTAAAAAATCTGAGTGCTGCCCTCTTCAGGTTGAACGGTGGCTGCTGCAGTTGAATTTTCCTATTGGAAATTGTGGTAATTAGCCTAAACAAAGACGATTTAATTTTAAAGCCTATGTTTCGTTACATCATTGTTGGAAAGCATTCTTATCAGAATAATTTCTGTTAAGCTTGTGTATTTTTAGTTAAAGTTGTTAAGTTATAATTAAGCAATATCTCAATATCTCAGGTTTTTACTTTGTGTTTTATTTAATGACCACTAGGAGGTGCTCTAGGCATATGTATTCTTTAATTGGGTATGTATTCTTTAATCCCTGAAGAGAAAAACATTCAGTTTAAAATTAAAGTAAAAGAGTGACTCAAATCTGTTGCATCTTACAGTGAAATGAGAAACTTGTGTATTTATTATAATCACATTAGTGATTTATCTCTATTCCGATTCACCCCTAATTATTTGGAAAGTTACATTTTATTATTTGACCTGCTCTACCCGTGGATTATCCACGGATATAACCTAGATCCACACATCACTATAAAATGCTTCGAGCCGGAGGTGGCGCGAAATTTGATGGAGGAGGCCGCCCCGTTAATTCTTTATGCAGGAAAAACCTGCATTGAGAATTACGGGCCACTTTACTAGTGGCCATGTAGCTCACCAGTTTAGCCCAGTTATGATCTTAACAAGTTGAAGTGAATGGCCAGTTTCCAGTCTGTTAAAATCATTTTGTTCTGTTACTCCAGTTAAGAAACCTGCAGAAATGGCACCTAAACAGAAGAAAGTTCCAGTAAAAGCCAAGAAGCCTGATACATCCGTCTGGGACTCTGACTCAGACACGGGCACTAAAAAAGCATCAGCAGCACCAAAAGGGGGTGGGAAAGGCCGAGGCAGGAAAAGGAAGCAGTCGAGCTCAGAGGAGGAGGTTTATAACCCTGTGAAGAAGACTGGAAAGACTGCCACAAGCAGGGTGAGTGATAAATCCACTACTAATAATCCTACAAGCTGTATTACAGATTGTGAAAAACGTCTCGGTTGCGGATGTAACCCTCGTTCCCTGAGTAGGGAACGGAGACGTTCCGTCGGATGACCACGAATGGGATTTCGCTTAGAAAGCCTATCAGCTTCGCTCAATATAAAGCGAGCCAATGGCAAAGAAGTCAGCGACAGGAGTCAGCGGCCACACTCAAAAACCAATCATCCAGTGGCGAGTGCTCAGGACAGGGTGGAAAGTTCCACTCTAGTCTGATGCTCGCAGCGGCCCGGGAAAGCATGGCCATCATCTCAGGATCTGACTCAACTAATGCCATATGCACACCCAAAAGTGGCAGCATTGTCTTATCTTCACTTCTTGAAGATTCTAGCCTGTCCTGTGATGCTGCGATGGACAACAAATCCAATTCTGGAGTGTCAAGGGAAACCCGCGGGACATCCGAAAATAGACCCGGGGAATCCCCTGAACACTCGCGGGTTGCGTCAGTCATCCCTCAGGTCACCCTGGCCACCAGCCGAAGTAGCACCTTACGTGGAGAGTGTTAGATCGGGGTGTGGATGAGGGACTCTCTCTAACGAGATCATTGAGTCTCGACAGTAATGACGCGATGGTCACGTTCCTGTCGGGAGAACGGAGTCATCCACAAACGCTGCTCTAGTGCGATCAAGCCCAAGCACGCAGAGTAGAGAATGTGCCTATCAAAATCGGAAATGAGTCGACCGCGGCCAGAAATGTATGGACGAGCCGTCTTTAAAAAGATGTGCCACGTGCGAGCTCTTTTGTGAGAGAAGAAAAAACTCTGCGATGTTGAAGAAGCGAGCAGGGAGAAACACATTCACTGGCAGATCACTGCACAGACCAGCTGGCAATGTGAACTCACTGCAGATCACCATCACACCAACACCGGAGAGAGTGGCAATAAGCAACAATTTTACATACATACTGTATATAAAGTACATTGACCGGTACATGTACTGTATGTGAGTGTAACAAACTCCTGTCCTCTCCACTGCACACTGAACAAGTAAAAGACACAAGATAGTTTAGTTTGGTGTACATTGGTTGCTATGCCAAAATACAATTTTTAGAAGTTACAATACTTTTGAATTGTGTTTTTGTGTGTGTGTAGATTTTTGAGAAAAGGAGTCATAGTTTCAGAAACTGTAAGTAATTGTTTAAAAACGTCTAGTCAACAATGTGTAACATGAATATGTGAATGAACTTTTTGGCCTGCAGGGGGTGCCAATGGTCTGGCGATTATAAATCCAGGCTGGTGCTCAAAATTGTTCCAGTTATAGCTACAAAATAATGGCAGAACCACTATATTTTATAAACATTAGAACTGTGATCCACAGTGGTAAATAATGTTGTGCACTGCACTCAAGCTATACTCAGTGTCCAGATAAGTCCAGTTCTTCACTTTTTTTTTACTCTGTATTCTTCCTCATGGGTAACTATAATATCCAGTGTCTTATGTTGTGTATGTGTGTTTGCATGTAGAAACCAAAGAAGGCAGTGTCTGACGATGAAGAAGATGATGACGCAAGCATGAACAGCTTCAGCCGTCTGGACTCAGGCAGAGATCGATCCGGTCGAGCCAAGAAAGAAGTCAAATATTTTGCAGAATCTGATAATGATGATGACGATGACGATATGTTTGACTAGAAAACACACTCACACACACTCAGTCCAGAAATATCCTTGTTGAAGAACAGGTTCACTGTCTTCTGTCCTGCAGAATTTTGTACATTTTACTCTCCATTTTATTTCTTCAATTGTGATGTTGAATTCTTTCTACTGTGTAGCTGTTTTACTCTTTTTATCGTTATTGCTATATTATTATTATTATTGGTATGATATACATTGACAATGTTGTTTTTTATCATTGAATTGTATTTGTCCTGAGCAGCTTTTAGAAATGTAGACTGCTGTGCTTTAGCACCTTTAATGGTTCAGCATTAGAGATGACTTACCTTTTTGAGATGACTTGGAAATAAACATGAAATGTAAATTATATGTTAGTCTTTAGCAATGGTAGTACCACTGAAATGTTCCAAAATGTTTGAGAGACCATAAGAGACAATGACAGGACATGCTGTTTATTACCACAGAAATGTCAACTCATCCTGCCGATTTTAAAAACAAGCTAAATAGTGCTCTTGTTATGTAGAACCAGAAGTTGATCTGCTTAGAAAAGTTCTCCAAGGATGCAAAAACAATGATTTAGACAACTGCAACAGCACAACATTTAACATTGTATGAAATAATTGAACAAAATGAACCACAACCTCTATCTCACACTTTACGCATACATTAACATGGACCTTCCAAGTACTTCCAAACATTTTAAAATTAATACATTTTTTTATTGTTTTGCCAGACGGGTTCACGGTAAAGGCAATGGTAAACTAAAGCACTGTTAATGTTAACTCCTTGGTGTCACAGGTTTTAAACAGAAGTTGAGAATTTCATCCTTATGAACTGTTTAATTACTTTTTGTTTTTTTTAGAGAAACCAAAATGTTTTGTAAGTGTTAAAGGACTGTTCCTTCGTAGGTTAAATTTGGGCCAACTTTGTGTTTGATTGTTGACTGCCTTTCAATCAAAAATCCAAAGATAAAAACCAATCTCTAACATCTCAGTAAAATTTTTAGTACATGTCGGTTTTGATCTGCTTTTTTTTTACTTTGGTTCAGAGCTCATGTAAGCTTGTAAAGAGCTTCATTTTTTTTTTTTTTTTTTTTTTCAAAATCAAAATGACATTTGCATCACTGACCAGCAAACAAATGCAATGGTTTCAGCATACAGTAGTTAGCAGTCAACTTATGTTTCCTATTATTGAAGACAAGCACACTGTTGCATCTCTGCCATGACACAAGCTTAGAACAATATCACGTTCAACAAAAAGCATTATTGAACAATCGAGATGAGATGACTCGACCCTTAGCAGTCAAACCGGACCATGCGAGTTAATTTTGATTAAAAAAAAAATTTCTTGTGACACATTTGATAACCCTTGTTACGTGTTTTGATTTTTCAAAACACGTTTTGAACATGGATTCTGACAATCTTGTGACATGAAGTTATGATAGTTAGATATATGCTAACTCAATCAAACACACTGTCTAGTAACTTTTCCTGTGTAACAAAGCATATAGAGTACATAATTCAAATATTAGCTTTCATAGCTTAACATTTTAATGATTGAGGATTGTAGATGCAGAGGGAATTGTGGGTGGTGTGGGGTTTTCGTAAAGACATTCATGAGCTGTTTCATTTGTTAACTTGAAACTTAAAAAAACTTATTAAAAAAAACTTGCTTTGAATTTTGAATTTTAAAGACAAAAGATGTGGAGCAAAAACATTTGTCTTTCTGATGTAGATTGATGAGGTAAACCCCCCATGGAAACAGAAAGATAGATACTGCATGGTCCAGAGTTTGTCATTCCTTATTCACATTCAGATGACTGAGTTTGTTCTCCCTTGCTGTGTTTTCAGAGCAGATGTGCAGTGAGACTGGTGCAGAATGTTTGTAAATGGTCAGTTCACCAAAAATTGAAATTCTGCCATCATTTCAAATGGCAGATTTATTTGATGAACTATTCCTTTAAGTAAAAAAGTAAACAAAGATTCTATTCAACCCTGAGGGAATAAATGATTAGATCAATTGATTACAGTTATGTTTCAAGTTAAACTTTACACCATCACACAGAATTATCCACTTATATAAGGCAAGAAAAAAATACATCACTTCATTAAAAAATCATACGACATCAATTCAGGAAAAATAATACATATGTCTTATCCTGGTCCTCACAGGGGGGAGTGCGGGTTAAAGGTTCTCTAAGCGATGTGGGGCCAAAACATTTTTTGTCACATACATCAAACGTCTCCTCACTATCGGCTAGCTGCCTGTCCCCTAAAATCTATTTGTGCTCCTTTATAAGAAACACATGCAGCATTGGATTTGATCATAAATCAGCCAAAAATAGTGTCCCGGTGCAAAAACGATAATCCAGCGACACTTGTGTTTTAGTTAAAGGAGCAATGTGTGATTTTTAGCGACATCTAGTGGTTCAGTTGCGAGTTTGCACCAGGTTTGCACTAAGGGCTCAGCCCACTGCTCACCCCTCCCTTTCGAAGAAGCTACGGTTGCTAAAACGGGACAAACATCTCGTCGGCTGAGACAGCAGAGAATAGCCAGAGTAAGCCAAGAGTGTGTAACATTGTCACTGTTTCTGTACCACAGTCCATTATAAACCACATCATGGATACTGTTTACAAAGCCATAGTCAGGTGAGGATCAATGGTTTTAATATATAATTTAATAAAATAATATTAATCAGCTGATTGTCTCACAAACGTAACCAGCAGCACATTTATCCCCACATACTGTAGCAAACCCATAATACAGCGAGGGAGCAGCTATATATTTTTTCTAACAGGGTAGTAATAGTTTAGCTGGCTAATATGAGCTGTTACTGTGGCTGAGCTGGGACTCGTCCGCATGAGTCCAAAGGTCGGAACTGCGCGCGCCAGGCATGTACTGGCCATCGGGACTACCGGGACATTCCCGGTGGGCCGCGGTCTGGTTGGGCCGGCGGCCCGGCGCGTTATGTATTTTGTTTTTAAATCATTATTAATTGTAAATATAGCCTATTCTATCGTAAGTATATTGTTATATTGTCCAATTCCGGGCATGTGTCTCTCTCATGAAGCCGCATGAAGCTGACGCGAGCTGCGAGACTAACAGGTCTGATGGCCAATCGGAATCAAGTTCAAATCTAGACTTGAAAAGCGGCCGCTTTACAACAACTGCAGTGATGCGATGTGATGATGTGCAACGAAATTGTGAAAAGAGTAACATCTCTAAACGTAAAGGGGGACCGAGAAGTCGAGAGAGAAAAAACGACAAGACAACGACAATAACTTGAGGCAGATGCCACCAAATGTGTTAAAATAAATGAATTATTTGCTGGACTTTAGTGAAGATGTCAGCAGGGCGCGCCTGACTGCTGAGGTGAGACATTTAGAATGATAGGCTACACGTAGCCTTCTGCATTGTTTTGTTTAAGCATGTTACGATATTCCAGCTGTAATAGGCCTCCACTCACTGATCGATATAAATGACATTTAAAATTCTCAGCTCTCTGGTTCTGTCCATTTTATTACGAAATTCAGACAATACCGTTTTGCCGCTAGAAAATAACGTGACAGGTCGCTTTAGCGCCTCAGTTCAAGTAAACCGATCATCTGTTACTTTTTATTTAAAGATAAGATACAATAGCCTACAACTTATCAAACGGTATATGCCTCATAAATAATATCAATCAGTGCTTTTCAACAACGGAAAGAGATTAATAAAACAGCAGGAGAACAATTATGTCACAGAACGTTTTATACCTCAGGAAAGCCATTTAATGACAATAGCACATAGTTGACTTGAAAAAGTATTTTGCATACTTGCATACCTTTCAAATAGCTATAGAAAGGAGTATTTTGCATATAAATATGCACATATATATATATTTTTTTTTCAATTTGTATCCCTGAAAGTGCCTGGCAGAAGCCTTATGTGTCATAGGCTAAATGTGAACAAAAGACAAAGATAAATAACTCACTGCTCTTGACTAATAGCTTTAACAATGATTTATATATATATATATATATATATATATACTATATACACTATATAAATGATATAGTATAAATAAAATATAGGTATACTATATATAAACTATATTTCATGAGGTGAAACATCACTGCCAGGACCTAGGTCCTGGCAGTGATGTTGCACCTCATGAAATATAGTTTATATAGTATAGCCTAAGAATATTCTATTAGAATAATAAGCGGCACATAAATTAAGACCAGTTATTTACAATAAAGCCTTATAAAATCATTTCCATTTTATTTGTTTATTATTTTAATATTTTTTTCTTGGTTCTGATAGTAAATAAAATCTAATCAGTAATTTTACATGCAGATTAATGCACGTATAGATGTGTGTGTGTTTGTGTGTGTGTGTGTGTGTGCGTGTGTGCGTGTGTGTGTGTGCGTGTGTGTGTGTGTGTGTGTGTGTGTGTGTGTGTGTGTGTGCATAGTGGGCCGGTCTGGATGAAGTGTCCAGGGCTGATTTTTTGTCCCAGTCCAGCCCTGGCGCGCGCTGTTACAATCATGTCATCTCCGCATCCCATAGATACTATTTACTACACACAATAGGCTTTTTTTCTCTGATTTTGAAAAATCTTCGCGATCGACTTTAGTGATAAAAGACTTTAGTAAAAGTCTCTATCGACAGGTTAGTGATTCCTGTAACGTACTGTTTTACTGTCAATGACATGAATACTAATCATCAGCTGTCTCACGAACGTAACAGCACATCTATCCCCAACATAACAAACCCATAACACAGCGAGGGAGAACTAAGTTACATGAAACAATCCCAACTACATATTTTACACCACTCACAAGGGAAAAGTCACTACTCACGGAGTGTAAGGCTAGCTTCCAGCTTTCCGCTACTTCTCTTTCAAGGTAGTGATGAAACGCGTTCTGTAGCACTGTGTGTTCGCGTTCGGCTACGGTAGGAATATGACGTCACAACATGGCGACCTTCATAGAAGGGGATTCCCGCGGTTATGGAGCTATTAATGTCTCATTCTAAGGTAATAAAAACATTACGGTTAATTAAGTAAGTTCTTTATACACCACTGAAAACATAGTTATGGATGTCATATTGCATTTCTGTTAATAGATACTCAACTTTGTTACACATTGCACCTTTAAAGGTATTTTACAAACTCTAAAATTTGTAGAGGGGAGAACTCATATAGACCCCTTTTGCGCCGACGTCACAGTTACGTCACGGCGCTAGCTGGAGGCAAAACAAAGTGAAAACTGGAGGCGGCCAATGCAAACCAGCACAGATTCGGCTACATAATAAGGAGCTTAAATTACTTTTATTATTATTAAATGTCATCTTATTGTGTTGTTTGGTGCAAGTATGAATGAAAAATGAATATGATGTATCTGGATTTTTTATTTCTAGAAAATATTCACATGATTAAAATCGCACCGTAATGACACTCTTTACATTGTTGTCTGCGCTGGCTCGGCAGAACTACGGATCGTACACACAAGTCTTGTACAGGACCATTCAGTGCTTAGTTATAGGCATCTAAAGATTTATATGACCTCAGTTTCTCTTTACAATCGGTTTCTCTATAAGGTAGGTGTAGAAGTCAGGCCACTCACCCGAGGTAACGTAACGTTATAATCCTGTCAGATCGTCCATGCATTGAGTGAGCGTGTAGGCGGCTACGGGTCGGCCAATCTGGTTCTGTCCGTTAAAAATGACTTTTGGAAATAACAATCGCGGTCCTTGACACTGAGTGACCTTACACATTAAGAAAATATCGGAATTTTCTCCAGTCATTGTTAAAAAAACAAGCTAACAATCCTTGCTAACTAGCGTTAGTGAAGCGGCCAGAGGGATCTTTCTGCCTCCACCTAAGCTCCGCCCACAAAAAAACGTCACCATGTTTACCAACTGTAAAAGGGTCTATAGGTAGACGCCCTATCGACCGCTACTACCTATTGGCACGGACGAGAATTAGAGCCGCCATCTTAAACCGGTCATCCGCTCCGCTCAGTGTAAGGTGAAATAAGCTGTCAGCGCATGCATTAAATTAATCATATCTCACTGAATACTGAACTGATTTTCACGCGTTTTTTTTTTTTTTTTTTCTGCTCCAAAGGTCATTCATGTAGCTGTGATATACATGGTTTGGCGTATTTTTATATCCATAGTAGGTTTAACAGTAAAATAATATTCTGATATAAGATAAGTGACCAGACACAATATGTGTAATGAAGGATATAATGTATTTTAGAAATCACACACTATAAATATAATAAAGAAGTAGAAACAGATAGCAGTAAAGTAAGATATTTTAATAAGCTGAAGAAACAATTTATGATTTGTGACATACACACGAACAGACACACGCACATTCAATAGGCGTACACACAAACACACACACACACACTCTCTCTCACACACACACACAGAACGCAGCCACCTGTAATAAAAATTGAGAAGAAGCTTTTCAACGTGTTTCCATCAGTAATTTCTAAAAATTAAATTTGGACGACATTAAGCCTGTGGGAGGGGAAAATGCCCTTTTCGGATCAACTTTACAAGGGTAGATGGAGTAATGATGTAATTTTACCACAGGACTTCAGTAATATCAATAGCCAAATCGCATGTGATTAGATATAGGTCAATAAAGCTAGAAGTTGGAGGGGTAACTCAATTTGCGTGTATACATTGTAATTCCGTGTATTACATTGCTTCCTATCATGTGTGCAACAAACACAAATAACCTTTACAACAGGGCAGATGAATGGTTATCTGATAACCTTGAAGCTCTTGTAGTTATTACTCAGTTACCCCACCTTTCCATGCCGGGTGAAAACCGGCTGATCCAGTAAACAACATTTCACAACGATTTCAATACAGTAATAGCAAATCCTTGCTCATTGTCGATTATCTGGTAATATTCTATTCACAAAATACAACCAATAGTACGGTAATGTTAAGACTTACTTGTGAAAAGCCCTATTTTCGGTGTTCCGGCGATTAGAACAGGAAAATGCTCCACAATCCTCTGGCATCTCATCTGCTGCCACGCAACGAAGCTAGGAATACGACCGGTTCAAGATGGCAGCCGGATTTCTCGGTTTCCAGCGGCCCAGGGCCGTCGCCAGAACAAACCAAATGGGGGGGGGGGGGGGGGGGTGGATAGGGGCACACTTTTTTTAATGATCTGAGACAGACCAAAACAACAACCCATTAGGCTTCAACTAAAATAGACCACACGCGCAATCAACGTAATATCATTAGTCCAAAGTCCAAACTACTGTAAGTAAAACTACCAAAACCAAATTGATTTATGACTCTACACTTCATAAAAATGAGTAACAAAAGCACCTGGTTTCCACCAACAATACAGCAATAGTAAAAGCAATGCATAACATACTGAAATACAAATTTAGCAATGTAGCAGACAAATTCTCTATTCCTACCTTTCTTATAATGTCTGTTCCTACCATCTAATTAGCTCCAGAGTCGTTTCCACGCACGTTGTTGTTGGTCAAAAGTCGTCTTTGTCAACGACAAAACTTTAAACCACTTAGCATAAGCTTTGCTGTAGGCCTACAAAACCATAGACCATGTACAAAACCACCAGAATTTGATTCTCGGATCGCATGCACTGCGCAGCTGCGCAAAGGAATTACGTTTAAACAATACTGTATGCTTAACTAAATAAATTGCATTGTTTATATTATTTATTTATCCTTAAACACAAACTGCATATTGTAATTTGAAGAAGTAAAAATACTAACACAAAAATAACAAATTGAAAGGTCTGCTGCTGGAGACTTGCCATTGGCTGTTGAATGTGAATAATTAATGAGGTAGGTCTTTGCAAGGTTTGGGTGCTGTTTTGGGATGTTTTAACAGTCATTTATGAAAATAAATATATTACGTTCTGTGTAATAATGCGTTGAATAATGAATTTCTAAATAATTTCTGAAGATAATGTATTATACATTCCTACCATTGTAGAGCTTACCGTTCCTGTGAGATAAGTTATGCAGAAAGACCGAGTTCTTTTCGATAATTATTATTAGCATATACATATTAACATCTATTGTCAAGGTCATGCGTAGGTGGGCACAGTAAGTCGTGTGGAGGGCACTGCCCACCAATGCCCCCCCTTGGCGACGGGCCTGCAGCGGCCAGTAGGGTATCTAGTCTCTATATGATATCTATGGGAGAACTCCCACTCACGTTAAACTTCCGGGTTCTGAACTGGTTGCAGTTCCACTCTGGGTTCATATGAGGGCGCTCACAGGCGGAGTGCAGAATGAATGAAGGTCTATGGAGCAATAAAAATCCACTTTTCTCGGGATATAATTTTTTGTCTAGTAATTTGAATGTTGTATTCGAAAGAAGATGCAAAGAAATTACACATTAGTGGGTGTCAGATTTTTTCAGAGTCACTTATTTGCTTTAAAAAGACTTTTAAAAATGTCAATGACGTCATACACATTGTACGACCACAGACCTGCTTTACGGCAATCCAGTAACTGGTGCTTTTGTGCATGGACAGACGAGAGAAGCCGCGCAATTTAAAAATACTACTATTATTGTGTCACGAAATGTAGTTTTAATAGTTTTTCATTTGACAATGTATTTGTTTAAAGCTCAAATCTGTGGTTTATTTATAAAGATAGCACTTATTTAAAAATTTGATCTGACGTTATCGGAGTTGTGAAGACCAGTCTTTCAGCGCTCTGCACCCCGCCTGGAACAGCCTTTCCTCGGGTAGTGCTTCTGTGCGTGGCAGGAGGAGCTGCCACTCGACCGGCCACGGATAGATGCACCTGCCACTGCATTAGCGCCTGCCACTCGACCAATCACAGTTATATGCGCATGCCACTCAAACTATTTTACCTATCACACCCATCAAACACTCCTAATGGTACATGAGAGCACACATATAGTGTAATACAGATCTTATTTACCCATTTATCATCTGATCTTATATTTTATTCACTCTTTTTATGCGTATGGGAGTGTGCTCGTGGCTCTAAGCATCGCGCCAGCCACAAGATCTCTCACTGTTTTGTAAGAAATTATAGTCTGCTCCGACCAAACTTCCACTCCAATATATATATTGAAATGTTCCTTCACTTAAAAGAGCTTATTTATCATAGAATCAATTCCTTACAATCTCAGTAATAATGTAAATAGGATCACAGAGTAATCACCTATAGCGTGGGAGCGACTGGGTATTAGAGAACCATCTTGATTAGGGGGCTTCAAATAGATGGTATCACCTTAAACATTTGACCATTTTTATTTGAAAGAATATCAAAGATGTGGGCACAGAGGGACCACTTTTGTTGTTATCCTCAATTTACATTTAAGACAGAGCTTCAGCTCCATGCTAAGAGAAAAGATGAATTTGTTATTCTTAGATACAGAACACAGCTGCTATGACAAGAGCAACTTCATTTACATTAAGAGTGTTAACCAGTAACTGTCACAGTGTCTGGTTGTGTTCTCTTGTGTTTAAGGTGTCCTTCACTATTGACTTCATTTCCCAGCATTCTGTCTGTCACTGTCACTCATCAGTTCATTGCACTCAGCTGTTTCCCGTCATCATTGTTCCCAGCTGTTCATTGTTAGTCTTGTTAGATATGTGTATTCATTCCCTGTCTGTGTTAGCATGTGTACGGATTCGCTGTTAGATGTCACAACTTCTTTGGTCTGTTTCCTAGTTGGTTTGTGCTTTGTTTTCATGTTTGGTTTGATTATTTTGATTTTGACCCCTGCCTGGAAGACTATGATTTTGGATTGCCCTTTATAATAAACATCTGCAAATTGGATCTTCTGTCCCCTGTGTGTCGTGACAGAACGAATCCCTCTACTCAAGATCCAGCAGTATGTTTTGTAATATCTCTTCCCCAGCCACCGAGTGGGAGAGAAGGGAATTTTTTAAGGGGACCCGATTGGTCAAGTTTCGCGGGACCCGTGGAGGTCACGGAGGAGGAGTTAGTCGGGAGATGATCCCGTTTCCGTTGGTCACTGTTCCAGTGGTCCCGGTCCCGGTGGTCCCGAGTCCAGGGGTCCGGAGAAGGAGAAGGAAGAGTCACGTTCCTACTGCCCAGTCAGAGACTGCTCACGTCCCGTCTGCCTAGCGAGAGACTGTTCACGTTCCGTCTGCCCAGCGAGATACTGTTTACATCCCGTCTGCTCAGGCAGAGAGTGTTCACGTCACATCTGTTCAGCCTGAGACTGTCCACGCCACGTCTACCCGGGCAGAGACGGATCAAGAGATGCCCATTCGCATAGCCGCGAGGGCACGGATGGACTATTTGGACCATCTGATTCGGATCCTGGACATGCCTGTGCTCGCTGTTCCAGAGCCAGAGCTAGTGTCCGTGCCAGAGCCGGAGCCGGAGCCAGTGTCCAATGTTCCTGAGCCTCTGCCGGTGCCTGCTGTTCCTGAACCTGTGCCTGCTGTTCCAGCGCTGGAACCAGAGTCTGCTCCAGAGCCAGAGACAGATCAGGAGAAACCCATTCTCGCAGCCGGGGGAATACCCAACAACTATCTGGAGCGTCTGGCACGGATCCTGGAAAGACCCTTCAGACCTTTTGTGTCCCTGGTTCCAGAGCTGGAGCCAGTGCCTGTTCTGGAGCCAGTGCCTGTTCCAGAGCCAGAGCCGGAGCCAGTGCCTGTTCCAGACCCTGTGTTTGTTTCTGTGTTTGTGTCTGTCCTTGTGACCATTTCTGTTTTAGTGGCTGTTCCTGAGCCAGTGTCGGCAGTTCCTGAGCCGGTGGCTGCTGTTCCAGAGCCGGAGGCAGAGCCAGTGCCTGTTCCAGAGCCGGAGGCAGAGCCAGTGCCTGTTCCAGAGCCGGAGGCAGAGACAGTGCCTGTTCCAGAGCCGGAGGCAGAGCCAATGCCTGTTCCAGAGCCGAAGGCAGAGCCAGTGCCTGTTCCAGAGCCGGAGGCAGAGCCAATGCCTGTTCCAGAGCCAAAGGCAGAGCCAGTGCCTGTTCCAGAGCCAGAGCCAATGTCTGTTCCAGAGCTGGAGCCAATTTCTGTTCCAGAGCCAGTGCCTGTTCCAGTGCCAGTGTTTGGTCCTGTGTTTGTGTCTGTTACAGTTCTTGTGTCTGGTCCTGAGCCGGTGTCTGGTCCTGAGCCGGTGTCTGGTCCTGAGAGGGCATCACCGCCCTGGCCGCCCAAAGGGTCTGCTCCACCCTGGCCGCCCGTGGGGTCTGCTCCGCCCTGGCCACCCGAGGGGTCTGCTCCACCCTGGCCGGCCGAGGGGCATGCTCCGCCCTGGCCGCCCAAAGGGGTCTTCACCGCCCTGGCTGCCCGAGGGGTCTGCTCCGCCCTGGCCGCCCGAGGGGTCTTCACCGCCCTGGCCGCCCGAGGGGTCTTCACCGCCCTGGCCGCCCGATCAACTGTCTGTTTCACCCTGGCCGCCCGATGGACTCTCTGTTTCGCCCTGGATGTCCCATAGACTCTCTTTTTTGCCCTGGTCCCTGATTAAGCCCTCACCCTTTGTTACTGTCTCCCATCATGGACCTGGCCCACCATCCCTCCCCCTGATCCTCCACGGTACCACCTCCCTCCTGAACTCTTGTGTTGTGTTGTAGTTGTTGTCATGGAGTGTCTGGTAGCCACTCCGTAGAGGGGGGGGTTATGTCACAGTGTCTGGTTGTGTTCCCTTGTTTGTCACTAGAGGTCTTCGTGTTTAAGGTGTCCTTCACTATTGACTTCATTTTCCAGCATTCTGTCTGTCAGTTCAACGAGTCTGTGTTTCCCGAAACCATCGTTCCAATGAATATTCCCAAACAGTATCGCAGAGTTGTTTGGTTGGAATGACAGCTCTCGTGCTGTGGTTAGAGCGAGGCATAGTTTCTAGATTGCATGACATGTGGACGTAATAAATCCTTATTTTGGGCAAAATAAGCAAGCTGACATTCAGTACAACCTGTGCCTATTATTTAGAATCTATACAAATGTGTTTGACATCTTGAAGTTTGTCAAAATATTTAAAGCATCGTTTTTGAAGACTGTGCATGTGTGAATGTGCTCTACTATGTAGCCTAAGAACGAGTCTATGATTGAATCTGGAAATAAAGCAAAATAACTGAGAAAAATTATAAATATTCCTCAGATGACATGTCTGTAATTTATATCAAAACATCTAGCATTAATTAGATCTCAAACGGTTTCATTAAAATAAGTGATTACTCCACCACGTGCGTAATGTCATAAACCAATGTGGTTGAACACCACTAGGCGACAATATGGTTTCGGAAACAGTCCTGACTCGCTAGTTGATTTGTTGAACGATGCATTGTACTATCGTGAGCTTAGAATTATAAGGTTCTATCTCCACTTTTGGTCGAAATTGAGTTTTTGACATAATCTAATCCATTAGGTGTTTATTAATGCCGGTGTGGTGTTATTTTTGTAAAAAAAAAAAAAAAAAAGATTAATAGATAAAGCTATAATAGAAGATTGTACTACATAACAGTTTTGCCAGCTGGGATCCCAGATAGCAAACTGACATTGAATCAACGTGGAAATATGACATCGAAACAACGTTGATCCGACATTGTTTTGCTCATCGAATTAACGTTGAACCAACGTCAGGCACGTCATTCTTTCAAAACTAACGGAAAATCAACTTGAAATCAACGCGCTGTTTCAACGTTATGAAAGCAAACCAATTTTCGATTTTCATTTAGCTTTGAAGAATGCCGCGTCTGACGTTGGTTCAACGTTAATTCGATGAGCAAAATCAACGTTGTTTCAATGTCATGAGAGACGTCGTTTCCACGTTGATTCAATGTCAGTTTGCTGTCTGGGATGTAAAAACTTTGATGCTCAATATCTCAGAACTATCCTAAACGGAGTTGGAACCTTATAATTCTAAGCTCACGCTATGGTAATTAAGCAGCGAGTTATATCGTTGTACGGGAAACACACCCCTGAGCTACTCGTTATTGTGTGGTTGACGGACTGTTTATCAGTTTGGACCAATGCAGTGTGAGACGATCTTAATGGAGCAGAGGTGTGTTTCCCGTACAACTAGGTTACTCGCTGCTTCGCTACCATAGTACAATGCATCATTGGAGAAATCAACTACTAGTCACGACTGTTTCCCAAAACCATATTGTCGCAAAGTATCGTTCGACCACGTTGGTTTTTGACGTCTCGCACATGGTGGAGTAATAACTTATTTTAATGAAACTGTTTGAGATCAAATTAATTCACAGGCACAGGTTGTACTGAATGTCAGCTTGCTTATTTTGATCAAGATAAACATTTATTACGTCCACATGTCATGCAATTTAGAAACTATGCCACAATTTTGCAATGCTGTTTACGAATGTTTGTTGGAACGATTGTTTTGTGGATACACAGACTCGTCGAACTATGCTGATAATGACAGAACTTGCGACCATAGTTGGCTAATAATGCTTTTGGGATACACACCCCAGCACGCGTTATTGCACAGCGTGTAGACATCCAGTAAAGAAAGCATTTGAATTTGCTATTGAAGTAATAACATCGCTGCGAGATCTAGTGAGAAACATTCACATCAAACAGTGCTGACGTGAAAACCAGGAAGAGAAACATGTGCCATGAATGAACTAATCAGTGTCCAAAGATCAGCAACATTCACCATGGGTTTACTGTAGTAACCTTGGGAGTTTGGCAGGAATAGTAGGCTATAATGCTTTCAAGTAACATCACGTCGGTTTTATTTTGACATTATGAATACAATTGCTGCCCTCAAATGTTAAAGGAGTAGTTCACTTTTTAAAAAAAACTTTTGCTGATAATTTACTCACCCCCATGTCATCCAAGATGTCCACGTCTTTTTTTTTTCTTCAGTCAAAAAGAAATTAAGGTTTTTGAAGAAAACATTCCAAGATTTTTTTTCCATATAATGGACTTCAATAGGGTCCAAACGGTTCAAGGTCCAAAAGACCGTTTCAGTGGAAACTGTTCAAAGGGCTTTAAACGACTCCAGACGATGAATAAGGGTCTTATCTAGGACCCTTCGAGTCATGACTCGAAAAAAAATTTGTTTATTTTGATGAACGAGTTCGAACAGGAGAGTCACGAACACGCATCACAGAACAGAACAAGACGAGCATTTGTGCTTATAAAACTTAAACTCTTTTATTTATTTTTTAAAGGACTGCTCGTTTTGCTTGATAAGACCCTTATTCATCGTCTGGTGTTGTTTAAAGTCTTTTAAGGCTGCACTGAAACTCTCATTTGGACCTTGAACTGTTTGGACCCCATTGAACTCCATTATATGGAGAAAATCTTGGAATGTTTTCATCAAAAACCGTAATTTCTTTTCGACTGACGAAAGAATGACATGGACATCTTGGATGACATGGGGGTGAGTAAATTAGCAGCAAAAGTTTTTTTTAAAGTGAACTACTACTTTAATCTGAACTAAAATAAACCTTTCTGTATAACTACTACAATATTACATTTCATCTTGTCCAAGGAGTGGTTTTGTTTTATATACTCCTAAGAAAAGTTGAAGTATAACTCCATCTTTGCTCAAAGTAAAAAAATATCATACTTTATGATGTTAGTTTTAATAAAAATATAATAAAAAATTAAATCAAGGAAATTCCTCTGGCAAAATTTCTCTTTCTTCTTTCTTTCTTTTTGCTCTATAGAAAACATACCGAACCGTGAATTGTGAACCGTTACACCCCGTTACACCCCCTAGCCTATATATACAGTACTGTGCAGAAGTCTTAGGCACACTATAGTATTTTCGCCTCAAAGAAATGGTTTTAAGCCAGTTATTTATATATTTTGTTGTAGTGTCTCAGTAGGAAATATCAGTTTACATTTCCAGACATTACTTGTAATAATCCAGTGAAATTTTTGAATGCACAAGGATTCTGACAACAGCCAATGATCCACACGGAGGTCGGATCTCACCATCATCGAGTGCATCTGAAATTATATGAAGAAACAGAAAAAACAGAGACTAAGACCAGAAGAACTGCGGCAACGTTTCCAAAGACGCTTGAAAAAACCTGCAAAACTAAAAACTATGTGTTTACAATACAAAGCAATACCTGGACAAAAGCTGTTTTAAATGTAAAGGGTACTAAACACCTATTGATTTGATTAATAACAGTTAATAATAGTTAACTAATAAAAGTGAATTGATAAATAAAATCTATTTGTGATTATGACATTATTTTTGAAAATATTCTCATTTACAGCGTTTTTACACAAGTGTTTTTTCACAGTACTGTAGCTTTGCAGGCAGGCAGGCACTACCTTCGAGACGTTGCCGCAGTTCTTCTGGTCTTAGTCTCTGTTTTTTCTGTTTCTTCATATAATTTCAGATGCACTCGATGATGGTGAGATCCGACCTCCGTGTGGAGCATTGGTTGTTGTCAGAATCCTTGTGCATTAAAAAATTTCACTGGATTATTACAATTAATGGCACAATTAATGTCCCGGAAATGTAAACTGATATTTCCTACTGAGACACTACAACAAAATATATAAATAACTGGCTTAAAACCATTTTTTTGAGGCGAAAATACTATACTGTGTGCCTAAGACTTCTGCACACACACATATATATATATATATATATATATATATATATATATATAGACCCTTATTACGTATATATGTATATACTTATGTGTGTTTTATAGTTTTGTACAGTGTTAAACAATATTAAATAA